CCTGGAATTCGATATACTCCTCCTAGAGAATTCAACTAATCGCAACGAAACTCGGTCAGCATGATGTCAAGACACTGAGGATGAAAAATTGCCAGGGGATTTTTGATATCTCGAACGGTTTGGCCGTGGCGAGGAAACGAATTTATGGCGAATAATGGAAACAGGAAGTGTGTTATAACTTCTGCATACATTAACTGATCTTGATGAAACTTCAGCAGTGTGTTCACTGTAAGAGGCCGATCACATGGATGTGACTATTGTGAGTCAAAGTTATAGCGCCACCAACTGGCAGCAGGAAGCGTGTCACTTTCTAAATGCATTTGACAAAAGTGGGGGGGGGTTAGTTTTATCTACAGTAACAAAACTCGATATGTATATTGTACTCTTCGAGCCGGACAACTTTCTAATTTACCGTAATTAGCTCGGATCAACAGGAATTTAGATATTTTTGTCTGAATGTGGATTTTTGGCTAAATCAGCCTCTGATTTTTTACCCACTCCTCTTAAGTGGTTTATTTAATTCCCACCAAACTTTTTCAACATGATGAAAATACATTAAAGAAGCTAAATTGTGAATGGCTATTGAATATCTCAAATTGTTTTGCTATGGCGAGGGATTAAAGTCATGTCAAAAAAGTAAACACTAAAAGCCTCATATCTTCTAAAAAATTAATTATACACCATTTATTTCTAGATAAAATTATACAAATATCAGAACTAAACCCATTTTATTCTTGTTTTCAATTTAAGAATAATGTACAAGTTTAAAAACAGCCAGAATGTGCTATTCAGTTAAAAAATAAATACATCAATATAAAGGGCTATACTGCCCTCTTGTGTCCAAAATGATATCAACTCAGTACATAAAACTTTTTATCAGGTATGGCTATTGTAATTAAATATAAATATATTAGGTTTGTGGCTGTGAGGATCTTTTCCCACCGATTAATCGATGTTAGACACCAGCGAAGCCTTTTAAATCGCTAATATAAAAGGGAAAGTAAAGTAAGGACGTCCGCACGGACATTTATAGTGGTGGCGCTCGGAGTGCGCTCGAATGAATTTCTATGGAAGTAGAAATGAAAAAATGTTCGCTCTGTTCTGCTCGCTCGTCGCCATGGACGCGCACAGTTATGAATGCCAGTGCAGCCGCATACTTTTTAGTGTCACTTTAAAATTAGCGCCATATCGGGGGCCGATTGCTTCCGGTTTTCAGGGAAAACACAACAACAAATGAGTAAATGACAGATTCGCTTAAATAGGCGCTTTTACACAAAATATTCCGTCATCATTTTTTTCAGTCAGCTCTTCACTCTCATGATTAATGAATTTTGACTCCTGTTGCTGATCTTTGCTGCAACTTTCGTTTTGCTCACAATTTAGTAAGCAAACACGTTCAAGTTTTAATTGTAGTGACTAAATGATTTTATTATACACACACACACATCAAATTGACGGTGTGGGGCCATGGTATATTTAAATCTGCATATTGTAATATCTGCAGGGCACCCCTAGTCTAGTCTTATTAAATGTATGCTTCATCTTTCATTTTTATTTGTAAATTTGATCAATAAATTCAATTATTTAGAATAATAAGACACTATATGGCTGTTACTCTAGGTAGGGGTGATCAAATTAAATCGTTTACACTGAAAAATAACAATGCATTAAATAATGTTATGAGATTGTTTTAAATATGAGTTAATTAACAATCGTTGGAAAGAATGATACTTTTAAACAACACTAAACCGTTATTAGGGGTTGCCAGGCGACCGTCTTAATGAGCGAGTCATTGATTCATTCGTTCAAACGATTCGTCATTCATGAATGAGACAGGAGCTGCGTCCCAATGTGCATACTATCCATCCTAAATAGTATGTGACATTAGTAATTTTCAATACTATTTAGGGCATAGTATGCACATTGGGACGCAGCTAGGTTGTTTATGGATTTGTCATTGAATCTTTGAGTCAACCGATTCGTTCAAAATGCTGAATCATTGTGTCTGTTACAGTGACAAGAGTTTAACCCTTGTTCAAGTTTAAGGCCTTGTCTTTTTGGATATATATATATATTTTTTTTTATTACAAAATATGCATACGACCCATATATTTTAAATGTATTGTCTGCTTTAAATTAAATTAAGATTGTATGTTTGGTAATTTAACCTGAATGAATTTAAAATGAATGTGCTATATTTCAGATCAATATATTTGTTTTCCTTAAAATTTGAACTAACACTAACTTTATTCTCATCTGAATTATAAATAATTTATTCCTGTATAAAATAAAAACACATTTGATTTTTCTTTTTTAATCAATGTAGAATGTGTAATTGAAAAATAAACAGATTAGGGCTCTGAGGACAAGAAATGAAAACCAATGCAATATGGTGAATGTCCAAAAGATGGCACCGACGGACTGTTTTTAAATGAGGTTGGATAAATATTTTTTGCTTTTAAACAGTGTGTGTGTGTGGGTGAGATTTTGGTTGGGGGACAGTTGTAGGTTACAGTTTGACAAGAGTTTATAGTTTGACAAAAGCACTTTGTTGTGTTTTATTGCGAGTGTACACAAATATAAGTAAACACTTTGCAGTTTGAATGATGTCCTCTATGAACAAAATGACAGAGTATGTTTTTATGTGTAACAGTTCAATTGCACCCGCACCTCACCCACACACACACATACACACGCACACACACAAACAATATTGGAACGTGAGTGAAGTACAAAGCCTATAATAAAGAATAGTTTAGCATCCAAATACATCGCAAATGTTGAAACAGTTTGATTCTAATGAGAGAGTTACGTGAGCCCAACACCACTTACTTTCACTTTCGCTTTAAATTATTTCGGTTATTTCTTGTTTATAGTTTTTTTTTTAATTCTTGTTCTGTTCTGAATATCATTAAATTTAAAGGATTGCTTGTGGAATATTTAGAGTGTATCATCAAATCAGAATAATTCTCTCGGTTTAGTGATTCCCTAGCATTTTTTTATTTTTTTCATTGTTCTAATCAGGCAAGGCAAATAATATATATTATATATATATATATATATATATATATATATATATATATATATATATATATATATATATATATATATATATATATATATATATATATATATAAATATAGCTGCGAGCAGCGATGAAGGGCCAAAGCCGGCGGCACCGCCACCCCGGGGTTGCGGTGCCACTGGCTTGGGCCCGTAATCGCTGCTCGCAGCTATATTATTTTTATTATTTTTTTTAGCAGTTTATGCAACCGTCCCCAGACTTCACACTTAAGTTACAGCCAGAATCAGAAATTCAGATACTGGTATAAAATAATCATCAATCCCTGGAAGAATTGTATCTTTGCAAGTTATTTTGCAGTATTTATTATGTAAACATAAACTATTAAACATAAATGTGATAAGTATATTTAGGTTTTTTCCTCAAGGCAAAGGTGGTTTGGTAATCTTTATTCTTTTTGTGTATTCGCTTTGTTTAATCTTTCACTGCCATCCCTGAAACTTGCACTGCAAACAGTTTGACTGAAAGTCTTTCCTACAGTATTATAAATGCACAAGCTGCTCAAGCCTCTTGTGGTGAGGAGAGGAATTACATGCAGGATTATTGCTGTATTAAAGGAAGTACAGACATAAGATGTGATTCCACTTGAAGCCTTATTTGTGAAGAACAAGTTTATATTGTAAAGCTTAGTTAAACTTTTCCTTTAATTCTCTCCATGTTTTCTCACCATTCTCGGGTTTTGTTCTTCTCTATTCAAATTTCACTGCATGTGTCACAACTATAAACAGAACATTGACAAATCTTTCAGATAATAAAACAGAACATACATCATAATTATATCTCTCCCTTCATATTGGCTCTGAATTCATGTCTCTCTTTTGTTCCAAAAAGTTATACGACTTGATTTAATTTTCATTTCCATGACAGCGATGCAAACAAACAGTTGCGTGTATTTAGGATGAAAAGAGCGTTTTGCAAGGCACAGCCACAGCACTGACACATCACGGTAGCAGAACATTAGCTTTCATTTCAACACCAGACTTAAATTTACATACCGGTAACTCAATTTGGACAATCCCAGAAGTTTAAACGTTCACTTCAAAATAGCCCAGTAATGCATGCACACAGAAATAATTGGGAAAAGGAGCGTCTAAGAGGGTTTTTTTATTCCGTTTGCCATGAATGCTTCCATTGATTGTGTCTTTTCAAGGCAAACATAATTTCTCCTATGAAAATTTCAATATGAATAAAAAAGGTTTTGGATATGCTAAAAATATAGTCTCAAAACTGTCATGCTGTGCCTCAGAGTGGAGGAGTGTGAGCACACTGGCCTGGTTTGGCTCACACTCCCATTAGGGCGTGTATATGTGTGTGTGTTGTGGCATCGGAGCTGGGATTGTAGGCAGACTTCATGCCCAACCCCACTTATAATTACAGACGGCATGCAGCTCTCCTAAAAAGAGTGATTTTCTTGACTGCCATGGATAACATTCGCTTTGGCAACAGTGGAAAGCAAGAGACAGATGACAAGAGGGAGAGGGAAAACTTAGTTGACTCATAAGTAATGCAAAATATCCTCTTTTTTGCACCGGTGCTGCATGAAAGAGGACATTGGCAGATGCACAAATGTGTATGCGCTCCGAGCTGTGCCTTTCCATAAACCGACAGTCCGTTTGATGTCCCGTTTCCTACAGCAAGCCTTAATTAAAATGGGTTCAACAACACTGATCAAAAAGTGCGTCTACCCCCTTTACTGTGCTCCCTTCGACTGGATCTGTCATAGCCTTCTCTCTCACTGTACTGGCAGTTGGTTGTGGTTGAAGGTTTGCTTTGGCAGATCACTGGCCTTCTCTTGGCTGGGACAAACTTTGCGTCCTGCTACTGGCTAGGAGGGAGAGGGAAGTGGCGGGGAGGGAAGAGGGGAGAGGTGGAGGCGTGGTCTCCAGCTGGTAATGAAGACTTCTCTTTTCATCCTCAGAACGTAGAATTGGAGTGCCGGGACTGGGGGCTGCGCTGCTCCATTGCACTTTCTCTCTCTCCTTTTCTCTCTCCTATCTCTCTCTCTCCCTGTCCTCTGGGTCTAAACGTCCAGCACAGGAACTGCAGCGGCAGATATGAACCTCTCACTTTCCCAGACTTCACAAGCATGTAGGTAAGAGTTGCTCCTGTCATTGTAATGCCAATGTTAATGTTATTATTGAAAGTAGCCATTTGTCTGTCTGGCTGTCTGTCTGGCTGTCTGTCTGGTTGTCTGTCAGCATGGGGGGTCTGTGTCCATACACACTGACACATACTAACACACACACACACACACACACACACACTGACTCAAAATATGCACTTTTAGGCAGCCTTTTAAACAAATTTTCCTACAAAACCATTTTATGTCAAGATCTATAAAAATAGGAGCAATACTAATGACTTTATTTATGGTTGTGACAGCCTAGAGAATAAATTGATTTACATGTATCAATGCTGAGGTTTACTTTATGTAAAGGACTTTAGTAGACAGAAGTATGTTAAGTGTGCAATTGTAGGAGTTTTAGCGAACTTGAAGTTCAAAGATGTATATATGATATGTATATTTTAGGTATGCGTGTACACAAAATGTGGAGAATGTTAATGTGTGTGTGTATATACACACGTGCACATGTAAACATTTGTGAGTATTGATACACCGTCAGGTGTGTGTAAATGAATTTGCATTAGCATGTTTATATGAGTGTGTGTGTGTTTATTTGCTGTGCTGAAGGCCAGAATCTTGCTGAAGGCTTTTCAAACTCATCTGTGTAAATAGAGACTCTGGGATGAGGGGAGGGGACGGCCCATCATCTGTCTCTCAGCCGCCTTTCTCCTTTGATCTGAGTCCTCTGGACATGTCCCTTCTCCCTGCGGCCCGCTCCAGATCCGGACCGGCCAGCTTTCATCTGCATTCTGAGGAAAATCTCTCCATCCGTGCACTCGTTCACCTCCTCCACTCACCTCTATTCTGAGTATCTCTACGTCTGTCTGTCTGACTTCTTTTTACCTTTAGAAAGGCCAGCTTGATCTCTCACTCGTAATGCATCCGTCCATCACTCCACCCATCCGTTCGTCTGTCTAATCTTCTGGCCAATTCATCCCTTCATCTCTGGGATGAATACAACAAACCCCCCGCTCCCCTCTTGGGGTAATGGCTCTTTTTGAAACCTCCCCCGGAAAAATCTTAAGCGAGTTTCCATTAGTTTTTGTGCAGGGCCATGAGAATTATGGTTTCCCAAATGTTCTTCTGAATAGTGTACAGGAGCCTTGGCTAATTGAAAAAACACGTGCAGAGCGAAGGAGACGGACCTACTGTCACAAATGAACTTTCCAGAGCTGGCAGTGGAGGTGGAGAGAGAGAGGGGGAGATTCATAGTTGTGTTTGGCTGGTAAAGTTTTGGTAGTTTCACTTGAGGGACACAGGGACATATGGACAGGGACATAGAGATGCAAGGATAAAGGGATGTATGGACATAATAGAAGGACTCAAGCACAGAGTGACAAATATTCTGAGAGATAAAGGGACATATGGACCAAGGGATGCAGCATGAAAGCATTAACCATAGCTGGTTCTTCCTGTCCCAGGGTGTCCTGCCTAACTGTATTACTGACAGCAGCTGAGAGAAACTCACTACAGTCTGGAAAATGTGTCTTCATCAAGTAAAGAAGTTCCTGTCCAGAACACTGTAGAGAAGGAAGTGGTATTTGGTTACTAAGCCCCACTAGATACCAGTAAAAACTGTAGTAAAAATTTTCTGGAGTCAATCCGCCCATCCAAACCATCAAGCCTTTCCGACTTCCCAATGGCCCCAAACGCCAGGTCACTGCAATGCAGAACATACCAGAGTCAATCCAGCCTGTCCAGACATGGTCCACCGTCTTCCATAGGCTTATATAGGATTTGTGGTATCTTAACTGCAAAATGCCAAGCAGTCTCTTGGGCTACATCCAACAGAGATTCTATGTCTCCTGTTCTGTTTTGTTGAAATCTATATAAAGTATCATCCCAAACAAAAAAACGGGGGGTTAGGGAGACCCCTGTCCAACAGTGTCTACTGTTCTCTGTCTGTATTCCTGGTGCATATGATTGTTTGTTTCACACATTCCTTGTTAACACTGTTACCGGGGGTCTACAGTTGGGTGGGCGTAACAATCTAGTCTGACCTTTTGACCACTGCCTGACGATTTGTAACTCTAACCCTATCCTGTGAGGATTCCTGAAGCCATTGCATTTGTGCACGTGCAAACACATACAAACTCTGAGCCGTAATGGAACCAGCAGCAGAGCTCTTAACTTTAACTGCTCAGGAGATCAGCAGTTACCAATGCATCATTCCCTTAAAACAAATAAAAATCGCATGCTCCCTATTAGTATTTGGAAAACATTAGGCACTAACAGTATTTTATCCTCTATTAACTCAAGTGGTGAGCCTTATTAAACCGGTCTTGATTTAATGTGATTAGAAAACCTTCCAAAGAAACAATTTGCGGATTAGGTTTGTGTCATGAAGGTAAGCATTATTGTCATTACGATTGTTCAAACTTACGGTTAGTGATTTGAACAAATTCTTAACTCTAAGCATTATGCTTCACAAAGTAACTTTTTCAAGTGATCAAACTTATCCTTTTCAAATGGCAGATGATAAAGTGAGCAAAATAATCCAAAAGACTCGAGGGTGGCCTGAGAGAAATCCACTTCTTCAGAATCAACTGAAGTAATGTTGAGTAAGGACAAAATATGTCAATATGCTCAGCAAGGACAAATATGTCAGAGAGACAGTAAAATTGGGTCGTGATAAAGAAAATGTAGGGTTATACAGGAAAGAGTATTACTTGGATACATGTCTGAAGTTGACTGATTCCAGATATAGGCCTTTGAAGTGTATTTTGTTTTGCAGATGATTTGTCCCAAGATATTTGTTAAGTCAAGTCATCTTGTCATCATATAGCGCTTTTAACAAAGGATTGTTCCAAAGCAGCTTCACAGTGATAACAGGAAATCAAAGTAACAGAGATTGTTTTGGTTTTATAGCAGCTCTAGAATAAAGGTCTAGAATTTTCCAGGTCAAGTTTTGATTGATTCACTTCAGTTGCAACGATCATTAGTTATTAACGTAGGGGCCGCTAACACGACACCGTTTTAACAGAAAACTCTTAAGTTCTCACTACGCAAACTTCAAAAACGCGAACCTTGTGAGAACGCCGATGGCACGCGCACGCGTATTAAGAGCCCACTCCACAGGTATGCGCGTTTGAATATATTTCCGCAGGCATGTAGTCCTTCCCTAAAAAAAACAACCCTCAACAAACTACTTGTCTGGCCTTAAAATTTATAATACAGAATTTTTATCGCTTCGGCGTAGCCACGCGTACCGGAACTATCCCGACAACGCTTCATCTGTAGAGAGGTAAGGGATGGGAAGGAGGCCTTCACAGGGGAGGGACTAGTTGACACTTCAGGACTGCATTGTCGTCTCGTCCAGAAGCAGGTCCTTCATCAGATCTGGATCCGGCGGACTGCGGTAAACCTCGGGATAAACAGAGAGACTAATATTAGCGTAGATGCCATTCTTCTTATGATGTAACGAGTACATCGGGATTTATGGGAAGTGTTCCCGGTTCCGGCTGACCTAATCTATGCAGCCTAAATTGAATTATAGAAGTCTATAGTGTGTTATGTGTATGCTAGGTCAAAGAGATGTGTTTTAGTCTAGATTTGAACTGACAGAGTGTGTCTGCTTCCCGGAGATTGTTAGGAAGACTGTTCAAAGTTTTGGTGCTAAATAGGAAAAGGATCTACCGCCTGCAGTCGATTTTGATATTCTAGGTATTATCAACTAGCCGAAAAGTTGAGATCGCAATAGACGTGAAGGACTACAATGCGTTAAGAGCTCGCGTACTGGGGAGCTAAACCATTTAGTGCTTTGTAAGTAATCAGCAATATTTTAAAATTGATGCGATGTTTAATAGGGAGCCAATGCAGTGTTGACAGAACCGGGCTAATATGGTCATACTTCCTGGTTCTGGTAAGAACTCGAGCTGCTGCGTTTTGGACCAGCTGTAGTTTGTTTATTAAGCGTGCAGGGCAACCCCCCATAATAGCATTACAAAAATCTAGCCTTGATGTCATGAATGCATGAACTAATTGTTCCGCATGTCAATGAGAGCATATGACGTAGTTTAGATATATTTTTAAGATGAAAAAAATGCGGTTTTACAGATAATATTCACGTGACTTTCAAATGAAAGATTGCTATCAAGGAGCACACCCAGGTTCCTAACCGATGACGAAGACTTGACAGAGCAGCCATCAAGTGTTAGACAGTATTCTAAGTTATTGCGTGAGGAAGTTTTTTGTCCAATAATTAGAATCTCTGTTTTTTCAGAATTAAGTAGTAGGAAATTACTAGTCATCCAATTTTTTATATCAGCTATGTATTCCGTTAATTTTGTGAATTGGTAAGTTTCGTCAGGGCGTGAAGAAATATAGAGCTGAGTATCATCAGCATTACAGTGAAAGCTAATTCCATGCTTCCTAATGATATCTCCCAAGGATTGCATGAACAGAGTAAACCGCAACGGGGGTACGCCATACTGAACTTGTGATCGATAAGACATCTCTTCATTTACTGCTGCAAACTGATAACGGTCAGCTATGTATGATTTAAACCATACTAATGCAATTCCACTGATGCCAACATAATTTTCGAGTCTATTTAAAAGAATGTTGTGGTCAAATGCAGCACTAAGATCGCGTAACACCAATAGCGATTCATTTGTGACTCTAATGAGAGATGTCTCGGTACTATGGTACGGTCTGAATCCTGATTGAAAATCCTCGCAGATATCATTTCTTTCTAAAAAAGGAACATAGTTGTGAGGATACTGCATTTTCTAGTTTTACAAGGGTCAAGTGATATGGCAGAGCATGTAGAAAAGCATTGTGGGAAATCTGTTTTCTAAATGTTTAACAGGGAATTATAATCAGGGATGTGTGTTTAGAGTAGTGTGCACATGAAATGACAGTTTAGGGATTTGGCCTCTTGCTGAGTGTGTTTATGTGTGGACGTGTGAAAGTTGTGGTACTACTTTTGGTCAGTTATGCCAAAGATATACACACAAATCTCTCTC